GCATATTCAATAATTTTCTTTCCTATAGTCAGAATAAATGAATAATTTTTTTCCAGTTAAAAGAAAACAATATTTCTATGTTAGTTAAACAGAATATTCCTACAATTTTGTGATAATAAAATAGGGACTATTCATATGGTAATAATAAAATAGTTGCACATTTTTGAAACCATGAATCGATCAATGTTAGACCACCATCAGAAACCTGGAAGCACTAGATGACTGTTTCGTCATGATATGGGTCTCATCAGCAGTGCCCATCCACGACTCCTGCATCCTGTAGGATTCGAACCCAGGACTTTCGGTATTGTGCGCGAACGCCTAACCACTGGACCACTGAGCCGGTATCTAACGGTGTTAATGTCTAACTTGATCAGTTCACGGAGTTGCGCAACCTCATACACAGTCTTCGGTAGTTACTGTCTACACCCAAACAGGTTGAACTTCACTGGTCACGAACTTCCACAAGAACTCGGAGAAGATTCCTCACGAAGCTAGTCACTAGTGAGCACAGGTAATTTGCATTACGGGGTTGTGACGATTGTTAATTTACACATATTTGAGTGGATGCGCACTGCTGAAGAGTCCCAAACCATGACGAAACGGCCGTCAAGTGCTTCCAGGTTTCTAATGGTGGTCTATCAATGATCGATTCATGATTTCAAAACCCCGTAATGCAAATAAAATAGTTGACCAATTGGGATGTTCTTTAAGTGACTGCCTTTTATTATGCCACAATTACGAGATGAATACATGCATTTAGGATAACTACTACACAGAACGATCGCTCAATAGTAATGAACAAAACTTGCGTTGATATCATGAACTCATTGATCTGTGTAAGTGGTCATTCAGCAAGTATACATACACTATGACAGGCTGCTAAAATCTTTCGGTTACCTAATTTTACGATTTTCTAATATTCTTGTTTAAATTCTTTTTAAAGAATTCTTTTCTATTGATGATTATTATTGTTTTCTACTTATGTAGTTTTTATTTTTTTAGATAAAAAACGTACTACCTTTCATAATGTTAAATATGCTCAATCAGAATAACTTCAGTGTACTAAAGAATGTTTTCATTGTACTTTATAGTAGTGGAACAAGATGTGATTACATTGGAATTTATGCATATGACACTTAAATATTATGCTTTATAATATCATGCTTAACATGTTCATTGTTTTATACAAACAGTTATAGAGACAGAGATTCAATTTTACTGAAAAAAACTTTTCTTAGCTGTTAAATCAAATCTTAATAGTTAAAGTATACATTAAAGAGAAGGCTACTTTATTATTTTATTTAATGCGTTAGGATACACTCATTGATTAACATTCAAGGTCTCTCTATCTTTTATTCAAACCATGGATCGATGATTGTTAGACCACCATTAGAAACCTGGAAGCAATGGACGACCGTCTGGTCCTAATATGGTACTTAGAGCGGCCAAACCAAAACATGGCAAAAATCCATGAAGCCACTGACAAAAGGACTGAGTCATGTTGGTAGGTGCAGACTACCTAGTTGGCGTCTGAGAGACGAAATTCACCAATTGTTAGAAACCTTGAACGAGATGGAGCAAAATCGTTTGCAGTGGTGTAGGTGCATCCAGTCTTTTTGTTCTCTGAAATTCTAACCTTCAGAATTCCTCATCATTTCTTTCTCTTTCTAAAGTTATCTCCCTGAATTATACTTCCTCAATAATATCTTCGATTCCTAATATTCTCCATTACCAGTAATTGTTCTACTATCTCCACCATTGTGAGATTTGAAATGACAATGTGGTATGGCAACCCGAACTTATGTACTTAAGTACGAAGTTCTAAGTTGTAACTGAATGACCGACTGAGTGACTGGATTCGGTGCTTATCGGTTGTGCACATCCACGATGCCTGTGCGCGGGAATTACACCCAGGACTTTCAGCACAGCGAGCGAACGATAAACATGTGGACTGCTGAGCTGGTATGCTATATTGTTAAAGCCCAACGTCGATCAATTCACGATACTGAGCCATCATCCATCGTGTTTGGCGGATAACTACCCCACACAAGATACAGGTGAACTCCACTGATGACGTCTGATGAAGTACCATGCTAGGGTGAAATAAATTTTCAGTGCTTGAGGGTTTCTACTAGTAGTCTAATAATGAAACTCAATAATTTCAACAGCTCTGTATTGAAGATTGTATCTTTGTTTAGTGTGATTATAATGAGATCCATGATTTGGGATCATGTCTACATTGTTCTTCTATTGTAGGATAATCTCCATCACCACTATTTCATAAAAGCATCTTTGAGAAATTCTACATACCGGATGCACTAACTACTGATATGTTCGCCACTGGGAGTTACTAGGTATTTGTGTCTTGAACTATTGAGTTAATGATGGTTATACTACATACGGTAGAAGCCACTCGTGATAAAAAGAGTCAGATATGAAAAAGATTAGTCTCAGTAATTAATTATTCTATTTCATATCGTTGCGCATGTTTCAAAAATACTGACCTTGTCATATTTCAGAGTATTTAATACGGATAAAAATTGCATTACTATTCTTATCAGTCTCATAGTGAAGTGGTTAGATTGATGACTGAAGATAACGAAAATTAATTGAATACTAAAAACGTCTGAGAATTTCTGTAAATAATGAATCTTGACTAATTAAGGGGGTTACTACTCACAAACAATCTAATACCTGCGACAATACCGACTATTACTATGATTATTATTATCATCGGTTTATCACATGATATACACTTTTTAACCTGTGTCTAGACTGTTAACCTTGTTCAGTAACAAGTATGTTGATAGTCATTGTGCAAAGACAAGATGTAACTTAGGTGATATCAACTGTGTAAAAACCAATATTTTCAGTATTTTTGTCAATACAATCAGTCGATATGCTTACTGTTGCCATCTCATTTAAATAGTTTATTTGATGAAATCAGGTGTTCAGATTGTGTCATGCCTGAATAAATGAGTAAGCGCATCAGAATATATCCTGGTAATCGTTAGTCGTTTAGTTAAACGATGTTGAAATTGTGTGTGTGAATTATTCACACTATCAGTTACACAAGTCGACGCTTCAAGTAACCATAAATCCGTTGATAAATTGTAGTTATAATTCAGTTTCATACCATATCAGTTCTGTGAGGTCTAGATATAGCCGATCTAGGCCAAATAAATCGGGGTTCCAACTTGTAATCGAGTGGTTGGAAATAGTGTGCTGTAACGACTAAGGCACCATTCTTTACATCAGGTAATCGTCGAATGACGGTTCAGCAAAACAGTCCAAACTGTAGAACTTGCCTAAATTAACTTTGACTAACTAAACTTTAAAGAAACGATAGATAAAATTGTATGTTTAGTTGTGATCAATGAATTAACATTACTAATACCAGCCCTTCAATTCTCCATCGTCTTTAAAAAGTACAATCAGTTCATAGAAGTTATTGTAAAATTTTGCTGCATTGCATTGGATATTTATGATTCACAATGAAATACAATTATCGTTTGAGAAAGGCATCAAATGTATACATGCATATTCATATACAAACTTGAACGCAAACGAACAGAAAAATATGTTTGCACTGTTCAACATTCATATACCACTGGATATATATTTATAGAACAATTTAGTGTGCCATTTTGATGATATGCGGCGTGTAGCAGTAAAATAAATTTTCACATCTTCATTTTCAAAGTATTTTGCCTTTCGAAAATAAATATCTACACTGACTACACAGATTTAATCTCAGTAATAAAATAAAATTAATTGGGAAAAAAAACCCAATTTCATTGATGTTCTTCATCCCCCCATATTTACGCATCTTCTGCATTATCTTCAAAAATGTGTTCACACTTGTTCACTAGCACCAGTAACCACAATATGGATCAGTGTACATGTACGCACACACACACACTCACACACTCACAAACCATGCTAATTAAAGTCAAAAATAGTCTACACACATAACCAACCATACGTTGTTCTACGCCTAGAATGTTCCTATCTATCTATCATCATCATCATCATCATCAGCCGATGATCAGAAATGTATTTTATGAATAGGCAAATAAAATACACTGCAGAAAAATCAATACTGATATAAATCACAGTAGATCGGAGATGAAACATTTATGAAACAATAGATATACACAAAGACTGGATAGGAAAAAAAACAAATCCGAACCTAACTTGAGAAAGTTGTTAGCAGAAAAATAAAAATTATCGAATCAACAATATATATAAATTCAAGAAAAATTAACCGAGAAAATAATATAATGCGTAAAAACAAACAAAATGACGGAGAAAAAAAATGAACTTTGATCATTTGGAAATCGTTCAAATTTATTTGTGAGCATTAGAAGAAGAAAGGAGCAAACATAAATTGAAAATTAAAATGACCAATGAAGTAGTGTATTTTTTCAAAAAAAAAAGAAATGAATACTAAGATATCGTCGAAGATATGGCATTACATTTAGATAGAACAAGCCGAAACACTGCTTACACATATTCACTGGCTTGAGTTGTTTAAAACAAAACGAAACGTCAAAAAAAACAAATCTATAGGAGTTTTATAAAATGGATTAAAGGGAAACAAATGTGAAGTTTGAAAAACGTGGTGAACACAGTAATAAGATACATACAACATGTGTATTGGATATGCATACATAAAAAATAAAGCATTGAAATTGAACACTGAATAGTAAATTCGAAATATTTTCAGTTAGCGAGGATTGTTTAAATACATTTGCAGAAAGAAAGGAGACAACAAAGATTAATCTAACAATAGTAATTATAATAATAACCATTAACATTATTATTATTATTATTATTATTATTATTATTATTATAATCATTATTACGAAATAGAATGGATTTATGTGTACACATTTCTGAGATTTATTTTCAAAAAATTACCTCAAATTTTTATTGTAGGAAAAAAATTATTGTCATTTTAAATTGTTGATAATAAATAAATATACTAGTTTTAATTAACCGTTAGCAATAGCAACTGGTTGACCATTGACTGTTTTCAATTTTAATATACCATTTTCTTCTACTTCCACTGTTTCTATGCCATCTTGTACTATTTTACGTGTGGTAACACATTTTCCATTTTCAATTCTAGTTGAAGTTGATCGAAATGTTTCTTTTCGCAATGGTGGACGACTAGAACCATCATAATTGAAACTATATGATGTTTTTGTTGATAAACTACGTACTGGTACATTTTGTGGTATACTACTAGTCTTTCGTACAACATTATGAGTACGTGGTTGATGATCATTAGTAGTGGATTTACAACTAGTTGTATGATGTAAATGACGACTAGGCAATACATTATTGAAATGATGATCATTATTAAATAGATCATGTAAATGACTATGTGATCGGAATAAACCAGCTGTATCCATAAATGCATTCATCATATTCACATGTTTACTGAAAAATTCACGAAACACTTCTTCCGGATCTCGAAAAGTAAAACCGAAATCATTGAACGGAAAGAAAAAGTCACTTGAATCAAATAGATCATCGGTGAAAAATGTTCCTGCGGCTGTATGTCGACGTCGTCCACTACTTGGTCTTGTTGATTTCGATGTTTTCGCATGAGTTCTACCTAAAACATCTGCACTACGTTTATCGTAGAGAGCACGTTTTTGTCGATCCGATAAAATTTCATAAGCTGCACTAATTTCTTTAAATTTTTTCTCTGCTTCCGCTGAATTTGTTGGATTTTTGTCTGGATGCCATTGAAGCGCTAAACGACGATAGGCACGACGTATTTCTTCATCTGTAGCTGTTTGTGTTAGACCTAACACTTTGTAATAACAAACTGGACTCATAATGATGGTAAGTAATAAGTGAAAGTGAAATTAATGTTTATCTGTTGATTTTTTTATGAAAATTTGATAATACAATCAATAAGTAATACGTTGAGGAATTTTTTTTGTTTATGAAATATAAAAAAAACTAAGAATTTATGAATGTTTTGTCTTTCGGCAATTTCAACTGGATCGTCTGAAATGAAAACAAAGTTTTTGATCAACAAATTTTTTTTAACGAATGTACAGTTGTTCATGAATTATGCCTCAATTATGTGTTTAAAATTAGTTATTCGTTTCATTTGAATCCCAAAAATGTATTTTCATGTAATGGTTAATTGTGAAGCCTTAGCAGATAGCATAGCCTAGTAATTTTTTTTAATATAAAGTAGTGAATGGTTGGAAATAGTCGATAGGGAACACTGAACCTAGGTTTCATGCTATTTGGCCCTCGTCAGTAAAGTGTACCTGTAATCGTTCGAGAGAGAGAGAGAGAGAGTAATGCTCACTGGGTGGATTTGACTCCGTGCTATCCAGCTTCACAGTCAGAGACATAAAGATTGAATTATCCAGGTCACAACTGACTTCCTGTAAAATTGAAATGTATTGATAGTTGATCGATCAGTGCGAAAGGACTTGACACACATAACACACTGGTCCCTCCCTATTCAGTGATCGATCAATTGTAAATTGTTTGATAATCGGATAGGTGCTTTCAATTAACATACTCAGAAAAGCTTGAATCTTTTTTGTTCTTCCGAATATTTAATACTACTGTCAATTATTCAATCAATATTACTAGTATTTTGATATCCAATGAGTATGCATAACGAAATGATGATATTAAATGTTAAAACGAAAATACAAAATAAGTGGATTAAAACAAGGATCATAACTCATCTACAGAATTCAATGTACCAACGAAACCAGGACGAAACAACCGTCCAGTGCTTCCAGGTTTCTAGGGGTATTCTAACAATGATCAACTGTAAATGAAAAATTTATTGTGAATGACTGATGAAATATAAGTAGAAGTGATTCACACTTTGCATTCATGATTCATATCATTTGCTATGTAAATTTTAACTGAATGTTTTCTTGACTTAGTTTAAGGTTTTGCTTATCAACGTTAGATATCATCTACATATACTGAAGTTGCGAAAGTCGTCAGTAATGTACTTGGATGATCATCACTGATCTATAATGAAAAATCGATTGAGCTTCAAATTGTATTATATTGGACGCTGAATCAACAGTTCGAATGGTTAAGCTTTCACCTTAAAGTCTGAAGGTTTTGGATTCCATTGATGATAAGGTGACTATTCTCCTCACTTTTAAAGGAACCCATACAACGATGGAAAAACTGTCTAATGCTTCCTGAATTGTGTACTGCCTTAACTGAGATCGATTTGTGACAAATACGACTTTTATGCTCATTCAATCGGTCAAAGATTTCGTCTTTCAAATTCTATTTATATGGAGATTGATGGATCATTTCTGTACATGAATTAACATTCTTTCACTTCAGTAATCTAATTATGGTCTAAGGTAATTTCACCTTCCCGTACAAAGTTTATGGATGATTTGAAATCAAATGAAAATCAATTAGATATAATTACTGGTTGCCTTACTTTAAATTTTGTGCTTAATATTCATTATTCAATGTTTGTAACCTATTGATTCGATTCATTATTTTCACTGATACTGTCTATTGATTAGACGAGATTTCAACAGTGATTTATATTATCATTATTATGTGTATATCCAGGTTCTTATGTTTATGTAACTGTCTATTGTTTAGTTAAACTGGATGATTCATTATTTCTATGATTTCTGTTATATATATATATACATCACACACATGTAAATAGACAACTAAGATATAGTATTAATTAACAGATAATTCAGTATTGGTAGTGAACTAGTTGAATCCCTAATTCATTTAGACAAATTCTATTGGTAGTCAAGCTAGATTTATTCAAAAATCGATGAGTAGTATAAGAGAAAGTATAAAAAATTGCTTTGTCATCACAAAGCCATACAGTAAATAAAACATGCCCTGCTCCCTTTGTAGTTGAAAATATATACCGTAAACAATGATATGAGTTTTTATGATAGCAGATGAAACCGAATTCTATGTTTTGCCAGTCATTTATCATACTCTAATACAGCTTCTTATCAGTACTTACCGACAACATCACAGTGAAGAACAAAACTATGATCTTTACATTACCCTAAGCAGACTGTAATAAATGAGTCCGAACTGGGTGATTTTATGCTTTCAACCTTCGTCAGCTTAAGATACAAATCAGTTATACTCCATGGTCACTTAGGTGCGACTCCCGTAATTTCAGCATAGCTGAATGCGCACACCAGAGCTGGAATTTGGCTGACCCTAAGTAGTTAGATAAACATGATATTGGTTACTATTCGGCGATCGATGATCTGTCGGTTTCTCAGTTTCTCCAAACGTCTCAGAGGTACCAGTTCAAATATCAGTCCCTTCAAGATTGCAGGTTCGTCCCGCAGCTAGAAATAAAGTTAGGTCCAGAGTTTCCTACTGACTACATCAGCTATCTAGCACCATACCACCTCAATGGAATTCTTAAAAATCCATCATGAAGTTGGCTGATGTGATAATTTTGTGAAAGCTATCTTTGAATCGAAAAACTCATCACAAATGACCGATTTTCATGAATCACAAAATTTGCTCATATACTCTATTGGTCGATGATGTGTTTTTATCTCACTTTACTAGAATCCACACTAAAATTTACACATGGATTAAAAGAAACGCCCAAAATACAAACATAAAATAGACGTTTTTCCTTATTCTCCATTCAGTCAGTGCTCTGCCATGATTAATTAAGAGATCAATTTTAAAAAGAAAAGTTTTTTAAATAACTTGTTAGGAATTAATTACACGGTATACCTGACAGAAAATCAAACAAACTATCTCATGTGATATTACAGACAGTCAGACCAAAATTGTGAAAATATGCTGAATGTGTCAAATTGATCATACCAAAAATAGAATTCATCGAAAAATTCACACACACTTCGATAGAAAAAAAAAGATTTCAAGCATTGCTCCGTGTGTGCGTGTGTGTGTGTGAGTGTATGTGAGTAAGCGTGCGTGCACGTACCGTGTGAAAATTCACCGAATTCATCATGCGGCTCAGCAAATGAAGTAGACGATGGAATAACAGTGAAACCATTGAATTGTTGTTGTTTGTTGAATAATTTTTAAACAACGTGGAAAAAAATTATGACTAAAAATATCTGTTCAGACACAAAAAATGTGGAAACGTAAATCAATAAATAAACGGCTAACAATACGATGTTTAAATACCTTTATGAAAACAAATTAAATGTGATAAGTTGGTCTCTAAAAATAAAACAATGAATTTAAGCCAACTGTTAAGCAATATTCCTTTGTATCACTTAATATTGGCAAGCGATTTGCTTTCCCCATAGTTCACAAATCACAAACTAATAATAATATGCTAATCAAGCAACCATCGAAAATGGAAAATTTGTGTTCCATTTTAGTTTATGACTCATCACCAATCTACAACTATTAACCGATCGGTAAATCAGTTCTAAGACGTGTAGACCTTGCAACAAGAGCATTCGACTTTCAGCCATGTACTTGTGTGACTTCAGTCAATTCCAATGCTTTCTATTTTTTAATGGCGCTCTAACCACGATCAGTTTTATGATACAAACTATGAACATTTAAAACCTTCCGCAAACGACTGATTCAGTGATCAATTTCTTAATCCAATTTTATTCATGTATTTTTCAGTTAAACACTTGCTGTCAATCAGGTTTAACAGAAAATAATAAGAGATCACTTTCAAATTAATCATTTTAATGGAAGTCAGTGTTTATAGACAAAAAAGTCACAAGTCATTATCAAGAGGTAGAACAATGAAGAAATAGACTTTTTACAAAACTGATGTGGTGTGTACAACAAGCCACTTTTAAAAATAAATCTCATCACATTTATGCACTTAAATCATCAGTTTGTTGATAATTTTAGGCTTATCGATCAAGCTCAATAATTTGACCATTTTGGTCTATGTTCTCATTTTTCACACAATAGATGAAGAAATAGAAATACAACAATGTCTAACTAAACTTAGTTAAGAAGTTATTACGCTAGCAACTTGATTTACATAATTCTATTCTCTAAAATCTAAGTTCACATTACCGATGTTAAAACGCTTATGCTGTCTGTGTATGGACCACGAAAGAAGATTTTGCAAAACAAAAACAAATTGACCGAATCGAAATGTTCTTCGTAATCACGTATCATACATTCGTTAGGAGAATGCCAATTCTTATAATTTTGAACGAAAAAATAAACTGAGATCGATCAGATTATAAAAACAAGATAAAATCAATATTGATATCTGTATATGTTTATGTATATGTATAATATCAAAGATAAGGTCACATGCTTTAAATTATCCTTAATCTAAACCTAAGCAGGTCACCTTTAGTTTTACGGGTGATTTAAACTTGATCTTTAATCGTTCACGTTAATGATGTGTGATATATAGCAGTGTTTTATACAGTGATTGCTTGAAAATCAATCTAGCATAAATTGCATTACAGAGTTGTTGTGAAGATTGTTAAGTTTTGTTTGAAACCATGAATCGGTCAATGTTAGACCACCATTAGAAACCTGGAAGCATTGGACGGCCGTTTCGTCCTGGTATGAGACTACTCAGCAGTGCGCACCCACGACTCCTGCACCCCGCAGGATTCGAACCCGGGACCTTCGGTATTGTGCGCGAACGCCTAACCATCGGACCACTGAGCCTACAATACCGAAGGTCCTGGGTTCGAATCCTGAGGGGTGCAGGAGTCGTGGATGCGCACTGCTGAGGACTAGCATAAATTCACTAGAATCAAAAAGGCGAACAGTTTCATGTCAACCTAGTGGTTTGTTAGTGTCTTTCTTGTTTCAATAGTAAATCATTCTGATATTCAATTGTGTAAATGAACATAAA